GCCAGGCTGAGCAGGGCTGGCTCGGGGCCTGGAGACGAGGCCTTCCCAGGAAGTGCACACTCATACCTGGCGCCCCAGGCAGCTCATGAGTCAGCCTCTGATATCCTTGCTTGCACCTATGTCTCTGGCATTCATTACTTGAAGGTGGTGGTGCTCAGGAAGACAAGAAGAAAGGTCTGCAGCTTGAGACCACACTGCTAGAGGCCCTTCCACTCAGCACTTTGTTCACTTGGGACAGGAAGAAAGCTCCATTTTAAGGCCATATTGCAGCATCTTCTCCAAAGATTTACAGACTGCTTTTGTGTGTTACATTCCAGCCCCCTGGGGATTTGGTCTGTGCACCCCTTTTCTGACGGGATGCACAGACCCTGGGCTAGAAGTCACTGTGATTTGAGAAGCGAGCATGAGATGTAAGGTCCAGAGAGCTGTATTTGAACCCTGATAACTTCCCTTAACGTCGTGTGACCTTAGACAAATTTATTGGCCTCTTTAAGCATTGATTTTATCTTTGAATAACAGGTGTAGTAACCCTCTGCTCTACCAAACTGGCTTGTTGTAAAGATTCCAATAACGGAAGGAATGCAAAACTCCTCATAAGTGGCCAAATGTCCTCCAGAGGAGAAAGAATAAGAAGCCCTCACCTTCCTAAGAAGAGGTGCAAGTAGGATCTTAGAAATTCAAACCAGCCCAAAGTGACAGCAAGTTGTCCAGCCTACTCTGGAATTTTTCAAGCTCCAGTTCAGGAAATAAGTATCTGGGAGCTTTAAGTCCAGCGGAAGGCCCCGGGAATGCCCTGGCAACCATCATGATATCTCTGTTTTCACTGATGGTGGTGAGGACAAGACCAATAATGACCAGAATAAGAAAGGCTAAAAATTACTCAGCGCTTCTTACATGCCAGGTTTAGGGCAAAGGGCTTTGCCGGCATTATTCCATGGAGTCCTCATACAACAGGCACGGCCATGAGCACTATTACTGTCCTCATTTGGTGGCTGAGGAAACAGCTCGGAGGGGTCACATAGCTAGCAAGGGGTAGAGCCAGAACAAGCCAGACAGCGCTTTGTCTGTGAGAGTTTTCTCTGTCACCTCTTCTCTGAGCTTCCCTTGGCCCGGTGTCATCCTGTCAGCCTCAGAGGCATCAAGGATCCTCTTGGTTGGTTTCTATTACTGCTGTAACACATTACTGCAAATTTAGTAGCTTAAACAACACACGGGTATTACCTTATAGTTCCGCAGGTCAGACTGGCATGGGTCTCACTTGGCTAATATCAGGCTGTTGACAGGGCTGTACTTCTTCTGGAGGCTGTAGGGGAAAATTCATTTCCTTGCTTTTCCCACCTGCTAGAGGGAACTCACATTCCTTGGCTTCGGGCCCCTTCATTCATTTTCAAATTGCCTCACTCCAACATCTGCTTCTGCTGACAAATCTCCCCTCTCCGACACTGACTCTCTTGCCTCCCTCTTATAAGGACCTTTGTGGTTACAGTGAGCCCACCTGCATAATCCAGGAAAACCTCCCTGCTTCAAGGTCCTTGACTTGATCCCATCTTCAAAGTTCCTTTTGCTGTGTATGGTGATCTATTCACAGGTTCTGGGGATTGGAATGTGGACATCCACGCATGGGAGGGTGGGCTTTATTCTATACACTATTCAGACTTTACATCAGGGCAACAGTGAGCAGGGGAAATAAGATAACTAGACAAATTCCCTCTCCAGTGTTAAACTCCAGAATCAGCCTGTAGTGGGTGAGAGCATCACTGTGCAAAGCCCCTCATGGAGGCAGTTCCCAGGCCACAGTACAGTACAGAGAAACAAAGGGCAGTCAGGGACGAATGTGTTCAGGGCTCCCAAATCTATCCAGGGCTGGAGGTGTTCAGATGACTTGATGGGCATGTCTAGTTTTGTTCACCATCAAAACCTGAGGTTGTTATGCAATCTCATGCTCACCAAGTGCAGGCAGATGATGACGTCATCTTCCAGTTTTCCTACAGGAAGACAGTGTACCTGCCAACATTGATACTAAGGTTTCTCTTTGCAAACTGATGTCATCATAGTCTCTTGTGAGTTAGGTGCAGTGAATCAGTGTCCACAGGATTGATCAGCTCAGGAGCATGGGCTAAGGAACTTGGGCATGGACTAAGAAGCTTAGCCATGCTAAGGCTAAGCGTTGGATTTCTGGGCTAAGGAACAGTCATCCAGATAGTGCCACCCTGGGGAGGGTTCTTGGGGGTCTGCCAGCTGACCTGTCCCTGGCTGTGACAGACACTGCCTTTCCAACACAGGTACTCAATCCCTGGTTATTTATGATCACTTCCATTTTTGTCAGACATGCGGATCAGGCTGTGATTCACCATGCTTATTACTATTTTCACTTCAACTTTAATAGCCATGTTTTACAAGCAAATTATATAAAATGAATCTTGCTAGAAAAAAATCACAATAAGAAATCAAATACAATTCAAGAGGCAGAGTGCTATGATAGAGAGAGGGCAGAAAGCAGGGTCTGAATTCCCGCTCTGTCCCCAACTCTCCGTGTGATCCAGGGAAAGCCTCTTTCCATCTCTGGGTCTCAGATTCCTTTTCTGTAAAACAAGGGGCATGATCTGAATCATCAATTCTCAATCCCAGTGTTGCAGCAGAACCACTTGATGGACTTCTGGAGAATGGCAAAGCCTAGATTTTACTGGGGTTGAGAACCCCTAGCTCTGAATGATGGCCAAGGTCCTTTCCACATCTATTCTATGATCCCATGAAATGCCTAGAATTTGTTTATGAAAATCTGTGTTTGAATTTGTTTTAGGCATCCACTTGCTTGCTGAATAGTAAATTCAACTGAACAGGGAAATGAAAACTGATCGCCTACTGCCTCCAATACACTCAATTAGACACCTTAGGGATTCCTGCACTAAAGAACTTACCACGTGGTCAGATAGGTGGTCATGTGCCCAAACAATTATAGGTAAAGGGGGATGACATTGCTCTTTTTAGAATTCCCCAAACTCATGTTTTAAATGGGTAATTCCTTTAACTTCTACTGGGCTTCCCTTTCCAGAAATTCAGAACCTGTGTTCTATATTCTTGCTTATGCTTCTTCACCAGGAGGGCAGAGACAGATCTGACGCATAGAGATTCAGTAGTCACAGGAGCCCACCTGCCTCCCAACCCTGTGGTCTTTATCTAGGCCTGCCCTGAGTGCTGGAATTTAGAAGTGACACAGCATCAGTTTTCATTTTTAACATTTATCGAATGCTTACTATATGCCAGAGACTATGACAAGAGTTTAATGTATGTTAACTCATTTAATCTGCAAATGGACCCATGAGATAAACACCACTTCCTTCACCATTTCACAGGAGAGGAAGTGAGGTGGAGAGCCTATATCACTTGTTCAAGGTCACACCACTTGTAAGTGGGGAGCTGGGATTCAAACTCAGAGACTAGCTCTAGAGCGCACACTCCCAAACATTTATAGAGTCTGCACCCTTCACGAAATGTTCTTATGGCTACCAAAAATAATGCTTCCAAACAATGAATAACAGGGAAATGTTGAGGTTAAATGTTAGGTGAAAAGTTAGTAAAATAAACCCGTCTAAGTACTATGAGAAAGACTTGAAAAATACAAACAAAACTAAACAAACTCCCCCAGAAAAACTTACATATAAAAAAAATGACTGGAAGGAAAATAGCAAAATAGTAACAGTATTTTAGAGAGAGAATTATAGGCGATTTAAAAATTCTTCCCTTTTTTGTGGCGTTTTAAAATAATGAGTATGCTTTCTTTACATCTCATTTCCTAGTGACAAGTAAATACTCTTAACATTTTGCTGTAAGAAAACATCAGTCTAAGCTCTGGTATCATAAAAAATAGTTTTAGTTTCAAAATGGCAGGTCAGCAATTTGATATGTAGAATATATTTTCCCATGGAAGGAAGGATATCCATAGTGATTGGTTTTTTTCTTTTTTAAACGTACAGTTCTAGGAACTGTGCTAAGAACTTTGTATTTCTTCATTCAGTGGGTTAGGAATGTTTCCAGCCTCCTTTTCCGGTGATGGTTAAGTAACTTGCCCCAGGTTGCACAGGTGAAGGCAGCAAGGGTGGGAACCGATCTCTCTCTCCAGGGTCTGTGTTACAATTGGGCTGACATTTCTCACTGCAGCCCATTTCAACAAGCATGGAGCTAAGGTACTGCCTTTTTCTCCCAGTCTTATTTTCTCTCACTGCAGTTTTCATTGTGAATATGCCATATTTGGGCCACCCTTTCCAGCTGAATAAATATTGGTAACTATCCTGGGGGCCCAACTTTCCCTCAGAACATTGTTTGCTGAGAAAATAAGCTTTGGATCCCACCACGGGCCTTTAAAACCTATATGCTCCTCCTCTTTGCCTCTCCCATCCAAAGATGAGTCTTCTCCTGAGGTCCTTCCCAGGTTAGATGCTCTTCTCATAGGGATGACCAGAACTGGTGCCCCACTCCTGGAAACCTCCAGATGAGTCGAAAGCCTTTGCTCCACCCTCAGTATACACCTGTCTCTGCCACCTCACCTCGAGCTGGCCAAGGGCACCTTCTTTAACACGAGTAAATAAGCCATTCCTACACTTCTGCCCTTTTAAAGGCAGTGTTAGTGCTGAATTAGTACTGCTTGTGAGCTCTTCCAGTGCATCAAATTCAGGCAAGGAGAGAAGCCCAACTACCCACACTCTCTGCATCAGATCTGCCTAAAATAACATCACATTCTTCGTTCTGGTTATGGCATCATCTAGGAATGAAAAAAAAAATCTTGTTAGATCATTTGCTTGGGCCTACAATTTCATTTTGGATCTCTATTCTTATTCTAAAAAGGGCCATTTAATTTCCATCTTGGGAATTTCCTTCTTCAGTTTCTATATCAAAGAGAAAACAGACCTTATGTTCATCCCAGAGATGTAGAGTCGTACTGGCCCAGCTCAGAAAATAGAAAGCATAGCAGAGCTGCCTGCGAGGCAGACAGGTGCCATGTACCATCCGCAGAGCTCCCTCACCATCCTAGAGGCCTGCAGTTCTCAGAGGATCTTCCTGTGGGTTAATACTTGAGATGCTTGTGGAGGGAGGAACTGGGTCCCTGGGATGTGAGGGGAGGGAGTCACCCATGCCTTTATGAAAGATGCTTCTAGCATCCCACACATGGTCGGCACCTCCTGATGCTACGTCAGAAACTGAGTATAAAAGGCAGATGCTTCTGACAGCACCTCAGTCTACCTGTCTCCTGAGTGATCTGCTGCAGCGCCTGAACCAGGTAGAGTACTTCTCAGAACCAGGATGAGCTCTTGGTGCTGGTGTTTTGGGCAGAAAGAGCCCCTGTGTGGAGGCTGAGGCCATTCTGGAAGAAAGACAAGGGGAAAAGAGGATTTTGGAAGGGAGGGACCTTCTGGAAAGGGACAGTGGAAGATAGGTGAAGGGAATGAGGGCCTGGTGTCTTTCTGAAGTTCCAAGGAATTCATTTGAAAGGATGGAGTTACTTGGTGGAAATCATTTGTATAGTTCTTGTTACTGGTCTTGGGAGACTGGGTTTTAAAAATCTGGTCATCTTAGGCCAGGTGCAGTGGTTCATGCCTGTACCTGTAATCCCAGCACTTTGGGAGGCCAAAGCAGGCGGATCACGAGGTCAGGAGTTCGAGACCAGCCTGACCAACATGGTGAAACCCTGTCTAAACTAAAAGTACAAAATTAGCTGGGCATGGTGTTGTGTAGCTGGGAATAATCCCAGCTACACAGGAGGCTGAGGCAGGAGAATTGCTTGAATCCAGGAGGCAGAGGTTGCAGTGAGCTGAGATCGCACCACTGCACTCCAGCCTGTTGACAGAGTGAGTCTCAAAAAAAGAAAAATAAATAAATAAAAATAAAAATCTGGTCATCTGAGAGATAAAGTCTTTTGAAATTATAGTTCAATTTTAAGGTCGAGGAAGTGATCTTGGGCTTGTATTGTTTTTCAGCTTTATTCAGCTCCTGCAGAGATGTCCTGCCAGCAGAGCCAGCAGCAGTGCCAGCCTCCTCCCAAATGTACCCCGAAATGCCCACCCAAGTGTACTCCTAAGTGTCCGCCCAAGTGTCCCCCAAAATGCCCTCCCCAGTGCCCAGCCCCGTGCCCACCTCCAGTCTCTTCTTGTTGCGGCTCCAGCTCTGGGGGCTGCTGCAGCTCTGGGGGCAGTGGCTGCTGCCACAGCTCTGGAGGCTGCTGCAGCTCTAGGGGCGGTGGCTGCTGCCTGAGCCACCACAGGCCCCGCCGGTCCCTCCGACGCAGACCTCAGAGCTCCAGCTGCTGTGGCAGTGGCAGTGGCCAGCAGTCTGGGGGTTCCGGCTGCTGCCACAGCTCTGGAGGCTCCGGCTGCTGCCACAGCTCTGGGGGCTGCTGCTGACCTGGGCCATGAGGAGCAGGGAGGGACAGCACTGGCAGAGCCCAGGTGCCAAACATCTGCGTCAGCCCGAGGCTTCTTTTCTCTCATTTCCCACGGAAGGCCTTCTGAAATGCTTTGAGTTCCCTCCTTTATCCTGCCCATGTTCACTCCACTGTGGGGTTGAGGCCTAGCCTGTGCTATTCTCTGGCCTGGTTTTCCCTCTCAGATATAGTTCTTTGGCAAACTAGGTGTTGAAATTCAGTTCCAAAGCTATTTTCTCTGTAACAATAAAGCTTTTGATTCCTGGTATCACTGCCTCCTGATTACATCGTTTTGCCTCTCCCACCCGCTACCTGCTGCACCAAGCCATCTTCCCCTCCCTTCTGTTGGGTGCCAGTGAACATTCTACACACTTGTTTAAAGAAGCACATTTTGGTAGTGAAGTTATTTAGGCCTCCGGAAAAAAATACTCCTTTCTATGCTCTGGATTCTGGAACTTTAAGCTTGAAGGAAAGAGTCAAGTCTGAGACCATTACGCCAGACACAAGATTGTATGAGGATAGCCAGGAATGAGTCTGAAGAGAGGAGAACGGTTGTGCTCAGAAGGGTCATATTCTGAGAGGGTCTCCTTCAAGCACAGGTCACGGTTTGAAAAATTGCTTATCCCCTATTCATGGGGAATAAGATTGCCTGAAGTGCTCATCCTGAGCTCCAATACATGGACACTCCTTACTTTTCTGATTATTTTAAGTCCAGGTGTTTCTGTCCGTTGGCTAGAGGGAGAGCTGGGTGGGCAAGATACTTTCGGGGGGAGTGAGTTTAGGAGGCAGGTATGAAATGTCTGAGCGCGCTTTCCCTGCATGCTGAAATCCTGGATTTGAGTCTCAGTAAAGAACTCAGAAAAACACCCTCCTCTGCAAAGACTGTCTCTATGTGGTTGGCGTGTGTGTGTATTTGTGTGTGGGTGTTTGTGTGTGTGTTTGTGTTGTGTGTGTTTGTATGTGTGTTTGTGTGTGTGTGTATATGTGTTTGTGTGCATGTGTTTGTGTGTGTGTGGTTGGTGTGTGTGTGTTTGTGTGTGTAGTTGGTGTGTGTGTGTGTGTGTGTGTGTGTGTGTGTGTGTGTGTTTAGTGAGAGGTGGTAAGAGTATGGGGGTTTTGTCGCTGTATTGGTTTTCCAAGTAACATTTCTTTAGTAATAGGCTGGTTCCTTCAGGATATACTAACAAGGTACCTAGAAAAGATAACTAGAAAAGTTAATTCCAGATTAGCCTTTTATATACAAGATAAACAAATGATGCCTCCTTTGATAAGAGTTAACAACGATACACAAAGTAAGTTAGTTTATGAGTTCACAGCATGTCCACTTGCCCAGATCATCTCCTTATACTGATTCCTACCAAACATTCTTCACTCTTTTTTTTTTTTTAAAGAACTTTACCCATTTCCACAGAGGAGATCCTGCCTCTGTCTTGTTATTTCATTACTTCCTTCTCTGTTCTAATATTGACTTCACTTTTTGGAATGTCTCACCTATACTCACCAACAGGTGCCCTAGGTACCGGGAACCTGCTAATCAGGCTCTAAATCCATGTTAGATGAAACTGGTATCTTTTGTGACTTATCTTTCCTTGCTAATTCCCTCCTGCCGCTCCCTGTTCACTCACCCTTAAACCTGTCTCTCACCCTTAATTCTTGAATTCTTAGTCTTGGACTTTTGAGTATAGTTCACATTCATAGTTGTGGGCAATTGCATTGATTAAGAAGCAGTTCTGAAGTTCACTGCCAAAGTATCCTTCAATTTTTAAAAATTAGTTATTCTAAAAACACTGTTTATCATGCACACTTTGGACCTTTGGAAAGAACTTTCTCTGATTTTCCTTCTTTTCTTCCCTCTTTCCTTCTTCCTTTCTCATCTTCTTTCTTTTCTTTTGCAGTGGGCAGGGTCCCTAGGGAGAACCTATCTTCAAAGGGAGATCGGTGGTTGGGGGTGGGAAAAGAAGCAGACGTCCCACAGGCTGACTTGCCTTTTTGCAGTTGGGCCACTGTCCTGCACACATTTTTCTTAGTCATACCATGCTGCGTTATGGGGATATGGTAACCTGACTACTCACAACTTTTCTAGCTTTATGGTTCCTTAAGTTTGCCTGTGATTTTCTTCCTGTCTCCAGTGACAGAGAGAAATCACCGCTGGGATTCCTACATATGCATCTCCGTTGTCATCTTCACTCACTGTATCTTGAAGCCTATGGATGAAACCCGGCAGGCTTATCACATAGCCTGTGGTCTGTCCTGGGGAGCCAAAGACCAAGAGCCAGAGAGATGAGAATCAAGATAACAAATAGGTGAACTACCACCTACCAAGTAGATGACCACACAGGAACGGATGTGTGGGCAAGTGGAGCTGTGTGTGTGTGTGTGTGTGTGTGTGTGTGTGTGTGTGTATTGTAGACAAGAGCAGAAGGAGTTCCAGACTTCCCTTCATTTGAGCCCCCACGTCTTCTGTTAGCATACACACAGCCTCCCAGCTATGAACAGTGCCCTGTTTGCAAAGTAAACATGCCACAGCAATCCTGGCACCTCTGCGAAGTGACTTAGATGCACACGTGCACCACCTACAGTGCTACCTGAGTGATGAATGTCTCTGGGATGTGAGTGTCAGCTGAGCATGTCTGTTGGGAAATGGGCCCCTCCCAAGGGCCCCAACCTGACCCTCTTTTATATAAAAGGTTCTCTGGCTGGACACAGCTCATTCCATTGCTTAGCAGGTGGCTCATTCCAGTTGGAGAACTTACTGAGTCTTCCAGTGGAGCCAACATCTGGTAAGTCTCCTAGCAGGGTCTTGGGGAGAGGATGGGATGAGCTGAAGGCACAGGGGAGGAGAAAACAGAACAAAGGCAGCAAGCAGATATATGTGGAATGGGTGCGCTGCAAGGCACCTAAGCTTTAAGTGATCCAACCTCTCAAGGCACTAATAAGGACATAAAGGCAATACAGGAGGTGGCTTTTGCAAGGGTACACAGCAAGTCTGTAGAAGAGCTGTGACTAGAAACCAGGTCTTCTGGCTCCCTGGATGGGTTTATTTCTATTAGCACAACGCTTCTTTTCCCATGCGTTTGTGGGGCATGAGACGCATAGGCAAGAGAGGATGATCAGGACATGCTTCTGGCAGGTGGATTCTTTAGAACCAGCAGGTGGGGATGCGTGTTGAACTTGGGTGTTTTCTAACTGGTGGGGTGTTTACACAATGCTAGCAACTAGGAAGATATCATCTAAGGTCGGTAGCAAGGTAAAATGAGAGAGACGAAAAAAGCCAAGTGGAGATTTTGGACTGGATCACACAGATAAGTTGCGGCAGTGTGCTGTCTATTTTCCACCGTGGAGAACTTGGGCAGTCGTCTTCTAGTCAGAGAAAATGGAAAAGTATCGATTATTTGCATAGACTGTGTCTTGCTCTGAGCATGCTTAACTCCCTGGAAGCACCTGCTTGGATTTGTCTTTTTGCATACGCTCTTTCTGGGTGCTCCCCGCCTCCCTGCTCCAGGCCAGGCTGACTTTTACACCAAGCCGAATCTCAAAAGACCAGACAGAGATGCCCTGGTGGAAGCAAAAGCCGGCTCGCCTTTGAAAGGCTGTCTTTCTTCCAGGTTCGTCGTGAGGAGCTCCGCGATGTCTTCTCAGCAGAGCGCCGCTTCCGCCAAAGGCTTTTCCAAGGGGTCGTCCCAGGGCCAGGCTCCGTGCCCCGCCCCGGCGCCCGCCCCCGCACCCTCCTCCTCCTGCTGCCGCGGCTGCTGCGGCTCCGACGGCGGCTGCTGCGGCTCCAGCTCCACCGGCTGCTGCTGTTTCCCAAGGAGGCGCCGCCGGCAGCGGAGTCGCGGCTGCTGCTGCTGCGGGGGCGGCAGCCAGAGGTCCCAGCGCTCCGACAACCAGGGCTGCGGCTGCTGCTCCTGCTGAGAGGCCCGCAGCGCTGCGCCAGAGAAACCGCCCAGCCCTGAGCGGGCCCACGCGGGGCGGGGCCTCGAGGTTCGCCCCGTAAAGCGAATCGCGCTTGGATGTTCAGAAACCCGCTCTGTTCTCAGCCACGAAAGACTCCCTGACCCTCATGTGATTTTTCTCCCTGGGGATTCGAGAGCGGTGGGTGGGACACTGGACCCTACTGTCTGCACGGGTTTGCATACAGCAGGTGCTCGGTAAATGTCTACTTGTTCAATTGTCCTTTGAAGATGTCATAATAAAGCTTCTACCTCCTGAGAACACCTTTTCTTATTTGTTCTTCATTCATTTCTCCCCGCAGTTTGAAAGGCTTGAAATGTTTGTGAAAGGCAGAAAACTAAAATTCATGCCTGAACCAAAAGGTGGCTTTCTGATAGTTAATTACAGTAACAGCGATCACATATCGACTGTTTCGAGTATTTTAAGGACTTTATGTGACAAAGTCCTTGAGTATTCTAAGGACTTTGTGTGCCATCATGTGATTCCTATAATGACTTGCTAGTAAAATGCTGTTATACCCATTTTACAGAAGAGAAACTGAGGTTAAGCAACTTGCTCAAAGTCACCCAGCCAGTACAGGATGAAGACAGGACATCTGATTCCAGGGCTTCATTGCTCTGCTTGGTCCTTACCAGGGCTTCCCAAGTCTTACCACTGAGGTGCTTGTCCTCCTGACAGTCAGGTCCAGGCAGCGGTGTGGCAAAAGTTTGTTTTGGCAACTCTTGGGGGCTTTGGAATCTAGCCAGCTGTCATATTTTATTTTTTTATTTTTGCCATGAAAGAACATTGACCCACTGCTTTGCTTGCCGGGGAGAAAATTTTTCCTAAGATGAGCCTTCCGGGAAACTGGAAGCTGCTCTCTCCAGGTCTCACTTGTGCAGCTGAAGCAGGACCAAGAGCCATGGATTTCTGGGAGTCTCTGGGGTGCAACATGTGTGCTCGGAAACGTGGGGCTCTCATTCTCTAGAGATGGTGGCTGTGGCAGTGGCAGTGGAGGGGTCATCTTGCATAGGTCAGAAACCAATCCCTGTGGACACAGATGTTATCCACTTATTTAAGGCAGGGGGAAACAGGAGACCAACATCCTCTGCATGATGTTTGCTGGGTTTAGAAAGAAGAGATAATAATGGTGTTAATAACAGTAACACTAGTTACCATTTATTTGGCGCTAACTTTATTTCAGGCACAAAGCAAGACATTTTACATATATTATCTCGCTTAATCTTCTCGGTAATCTAAAAATATAGACATTCACTTCGCCACTTTTTATACGTGAGGAAATGGGTTTAGACAGTTCCAATGATTTAGCTGGAATCACAG